GGTGGTTGCAAATGGCTAATCGGGCAGCAGCGTCACAAGTAAGTCACTGTGAGCGAGTCGAACTGTCAGCTGTGGCGGGGGGGGCAGTAGCAGCGCCTGGCGCTTGGTCAAACAGCGAGACACTGTCCTTAGAATCGCTCAGTAGGTACAGCTGCAGGTCGTCTAGCCACGTGTCAAACTGAACCGGTCTGCCCTCATGATCAAACGCGAGAACCCGAAGCGAAGCCATAGCTGTGCTGTACGCAGGATAGCAGTAGCAACTAAAGCAGTAGCAGCAGGGACAGTGAGGCAAGGGGCCGACGGGGCGGGGCGCGGGGCGAAGGGTCGACAGGGGGCCGGGCGCGGGCTAGGAGTCGTTGTGGGGGCCGGGCGCGGGCTAGGGACGGGGCCGGGCGCGGGCTAGGTACGGGGCCAGGCGTTGGGCTAGGGACGCGGGCGGGCACGGGCCTAGGTACGAGGCCGGGCGCTGGGCGCGGGTGGGGACGGGGTCGGGCGCAGATTAGGTACGGGGCCAGGCGCGGGCTAGGTACGGGGCTAGGCGCTGGGCTAGGTACGGGGCCGGGCGCGGTTTAGGTACTGGGCCGGGCGCTGGCTAGGGACGGGGCCGGGCGCGGGCTAGGTACGGGGCCAGGCGCGGGCTAAGTACTGGGCCGGGCGCGGGCTAGGAACGGGGCCGGGCGCGGATTAGGTACGGGGCCGGGCGCGGGTGGGGACGGGGCCGGGCGCGGACTAGGTACGGGGCCGGGCGCGGGCTAGGTACGGGGCCGGGCGCGGGCTAGGTACGGGGCCGGGCGCGAATTAGGTACAGGGCCGGGCGCGGGCTCGGTACGGGGCCGGGCGCGGGCTAGGTACGGGGCCGGGCGTGGGCTAGGTACGGGGCCGGGCGCGGGCTAGGGACGGGGCCGGGCGCGGGCTAGGGACGGAGCCGGGCGCGGGTTAGGTATGGGGCCGGGCGCGGGCTGGGGACGGGGCCGGGCACGGACTAGGTACCGGGCCGGGCGCGGGCTAGGTACGGGGCCGGGCGCGGGCTAGGTACGGGGCCGGGCGCGGAGTAGGTACGGGGCCGGGCGCGGGTGGGGACGGGGCCGGGCGCGGGCTAGGTACGGGGCCGGGCGCGAGCTAGGTACGGGGCCGGGCGCGGATTAGGTACGGGGCCGGGCGCGGGCTAGGTACGGGGCCGGGCGCGGGCTAGGGACGGGGCCGGGCGCGAGGCTAGGGGCCGACGGGGCCGGGCGCGGGCTAGGAACGGGGCTGGGCGCGCGGGCTAGGGTCGACGTGCTTAGGTGGGGTACTAGCAGCGTAGCAGGTGGTGGGCCCAAGGAACCTGCTCTGATTCCATGTCAGAATAACGAACGAGAATGAATGAACTAGGAAACAGTTGGGTACAATTACTAACCCTAATTGGGTTGTACCCCTTATGGGCTACCCCTACACAATTGTATAAGCTATAATGTTCTGTCAGTCAGTGCGCCCATAACCCCCTAGGACAACGAGCCTATAACCCTTCCCTAGGATCAATCGGGGATCATCAGTGGACCTTTGACATATCTGCGCAGTCGAAATTTTCGAGATGTACACGCACTCTCGTAAGGAGGGCCTCCTTGGGGGGAAGGGGGGGGGGGGGGGGGGGGGGGGGGGTAGTGTAAGGAAATTTGATTTTCCTTTCTTCGCGCCCCTGTTTATTGCGTACAAGACCATTCCCGCCATCGGCACCCAAACAGTGAAACATTACCCGCTCACGACACTCGCCTGTTGAGATAAGCTGAGTAGTGCCTAGGGTTTGGGTGCTAGGCAACTATCGAGAGTAGAAAGGAAGGTGGTTTCACTATAGAAAGTTGGAAACATATATGCAAGGAAAAGAGAGGTGCACCACCAAACAAGTTTAGAACTACATTAAGCCTACACTACAGGCAGTTATAATATAATGCATGTAATTATATTTCGACACACCCCCTAATTGCCTGCAGTGAAGAACCATGTGCAGAACACCCCCTGAAGGGGTTCACTAGGTGCAGCGGAAGAAGGAGAGGGCAAGTGAGGAGGAGGAGGAACCATGAGCGGAGAGGAGGTGGTGGGCGGCGGCTGAAGCTGCTGGCACATGGGCAACTGGAGCAACTGGCACACGGGCAACTAGAGCAACTGGCACACGGGCAACTGGAGTAACTGGCTCTGCGGCTGGACGAGCGGCTGGAGCAACTGACTCACGGGCAACTGGAGCAACGGGCTCACGGGCGACTGGAGCAACGGGCTCACGGGCGACTGGAGCAACGGGCTCACGGGCGACTGGAGCTGCTGGCTTCACAGCGGCCACCCCCCTTCAAGCTCCCCCCCCCTCCCCAAACCTCCCCCCTACAGCAGCAGAAGTTGCAAAGAGAGACAGGGCAGTCAGGGCAGGCACAAGGCAGGGGCGGCTCAGGGCAGGGGTGGCTGGAAACGGAGAGGAGAGAGAGGGGGGGGACGAGGCGTGTGGTGCTGCACATCCCCTCCTACCACCGCCTTAACCTCCAAGCTCATCCCCCCCCCCTCCCAACACAACAACAGGTGGCAGGGAGAGAGAGGAGGAGGAGGTGGGCGGCTGGCGCTGCAGAACCCCTCCTGCCACCCCCTCACCCTCCACTATCTGCCACCCCCATCACCCTACCCCCCACAGGCAATGGTGCTGGCAGAGGCACGGGCAGGGCGCGGGCTCCACTCCCCTGCCACCTCCCCCCCACCCGCCACCTCCCTACACTACAGAAGCAGGCGCGGGCAGGAAAGGCGACGGAGGGGAAGAAAACGGGACCGGGGGTGGGGAAAGGGCCGCGACGACCGCCACGAGCGTTGTCCCCCCGACAAATCTTCCCCTCCCTCCCCCCCCTCCCCCCCTTTGGTGCACCAGCAGTAGTGAGAAGGGGGGTAAATGGGGAGGGGCGGCGCAGCAGGCGGCTGCAATTGCGCGTGTGTCTGCAGCTGCACGTGACGCTGCAGTCGTGCGTGCGGCTGCAGCTGTGCATTTCGCAGCAGTCGCGCGCGCGGCTGGTGACATGCGTGCAGATGCGCGCTCGCGGCTGCGTGCGTGCGGCTGTGCGCACTGCGCGCCGCTAGACGGGGATGGGACGGGCTGGGGCAGCGCGGGACGGACGGGCTGCGTCGGGGGGCCGCGACCAACTCACTGCCATGACCGTTGCGACGGTCGCGACCGTCGATAGTACGGCCGTGACAGGGGTGCGGAACATGCGCCGTGAGAGGAGGAACACGCGGTGGGCCCATGAGGGAATCGGTCTAGGAACGACCAGCTCCTAATACCATGTTAAGATAAGCTTAGTAGTGCCTAGGGTCTGGGTGCTAGGCAACTATCGAGAGTAGAAAGGAAGGTGGTTTCACTATAGAAAGTTGGAAACATATATGCAAGGAAAAGAGAGGTGCACCACCAAACAAGTTTAGAACAACATTAAGTCTAAACTACAGGCAGTTATAATATCATGCATGTAATTATATTCCGACATCGCCTCGACTACGACTCCTGCCACTGTTCACGATGCGACCCAACCTCACGGCTTGGTTGGTAACCAGGGCCTCAGATTCACTTTTAGGGTCGTATACCCTTCAGAGTCCCCTTGTGTGTAAACACTGATTAACAGTGTTCCTAAAAAAAAAAGCCTGAAATGACAGTGTTGTGCTAAAAAAGAGACTGATCCATTAGACTATTATAAAGTCTTGATTTAAAATCCAGGAGTACGGTAGCTTCCTAGAACAGAGCAGCTGCTCTTATCTAATAGGAGTCATGCATGTATCTGCATCGGAATCAGACTCAACATCACTCCCCTGCGCCTTTGGTTCTTCCCACTCCTCAAGTGCCTCCTTTCCCCTGCCACTTCCCTCCCCCTCTCTTGCTGGAGGTGCTGCCATATTGCCAAATGGTCGGTGCTTCTTGTAGCTGCGGCAGATTTTCACCAGTTCGTTGTAGTCAGGCTCGTAGTCGAGGAGCGACATCGTGACGAGATCTTCAAGTTGAGCGTCTTTGAGGCTCCCACGCTGCCACGATTTGATGATATTCTGGCGGGAAATCCCGCGCTCACATTCTACTGTGCTCAGCGGCAGCACTGCGTCAGCCACCCAGAGACGCACGAGGTTGGGGTAGCTAGTCGTCCAGTCGCTTGTCTTCAGCATCGCTGTTGGCCCGGCGTGGAAACTTCACTCATTCTTCGGGGCACCTGCAAGGATGGGGCAGAAGGCACGCAGTTCTTTGATCGCTCGCTGTTTGTCGATCCTTGCCACACAAAACAGAAGGGAGATTGTCAGTTAGATTAGATGGCTTGGCATTCCATACTCGTGTATGCATGACACTGTTGAAACATAGGAAGAAAGAGAATCATGGACAACAAGGGTGCACAAAATGCGAGTACCTGGAAGGATGTGGTCAGTCTCCTGTGCCTTGAACAGCGAGACGAGTGACATGAGCCACTCGACACACTGTTTGTGGCGCTCCGCTCTCCCAGGCGGGTACTCGTCTGGCATGAAGAGCCTCACTCCCACAAGGGAGTCCAAGTCTTCAAACCTCTTGCTGAGGCTACTGACGAACGTCTCGGCAAATGAGGTGTAGAGATCGACGCAGGCGTCGTGTGTTCCTAGAGTTGGGTAGTCCTCGCTTGGGTTCTCATGCATTTGGAACTTGTGTGTAGTCCGCTGACCGCCAGAGTCCAAACCCTGCACCGTCACCTCGGGCTTGTCACTGTCAGGCCCGTACTTCATGATGAACGGGGACAGCGCGCGCTCAACCCGCCTCCAAAATCGTCGCCGCATTCGACGTAGCGGGTCTCCAGGTGAGACATGGTTCTCCTGATCTGCGCATGGACACCTATGATGTCAAGCTATGAGAGGGCGACAGAAATAATACAGAGGGACACAAGGAACGCGAGCCGGGGGGGTGATTTCTCAAACAATCAGTGTTGTGCTTAAGCTCCCACAAAATAAATGCATTGACATACACATACAGAAGCCACACATACAAGAACTAGACATCATGAGAAGTGCAGCACATGCTGAAAGGACTTGTTGCTCACCTCTCGCTGCTGGAAGGACTTGTTCAAGATGTCCAGCTGCTCGAGCACGTCTGCAAGGAAGAACAACAAGAAATGGAACCTGTAGCTGGTGGCGAGCTCGTACAGAGTTTTGTCCCACTCAAACAGCATGACGATGAGCGCAGGGAAGACCGTCACCGTTCGCAGAACGGCATCACCCCTGGAGAGCCAGCGGACTTGATGAATGCTTTGAAGCTCCAGATTTGTAGCCGTGAAGAGTTCCTGCAGCTCCAAAAATCGTTGGTGCCAGGGGCTGGAACGGCCGAGATACTCTGCGACTTGACGGATCAGCCCGTCCACCATGTCGAACTTGGGGATTGCCTCCGCTGCATCTTTTGCCACGAGGGCCTCTCTGCAGGCACATCACAACACAAACATGCAACACGGGGTATTAGCAAGGCCGAGATACGGATAATCAGGATTGGCGCTAGTACAAAAGCGAACGTACATGTGGACTATGCAGTGGCTTGAGACGAGATGCGGTATGCGGAGGCACAGTCGAGCGACAAGACCATTCTTGCTTCCCATCATCACACTCGCGCCTTCGGTGCTCATACCAGCAATCTTGGCAAGCTCGATGCCGGGGGCCTGCAGGTGGGACACAAACACGTAGAGGAGAGAGGCGGCGTCGCACTGCTCCATGGTCAGAAGGGCAAGGAACTCGGTGACGACGCGATTCTCACGGATGAAGGTCGCGAAAATGATCATGTGCTTTCCCTGGCACATGTCTGTGCTCTCGTCACATGTAACTCCGATGTAAGGACTTGTAAGGAGGTGCTGGAGTTGCGTTGTGTGCAACCACGTGGCAATCGCTTGTGTTAGTTGCCCAAAGCCGTACCTATGCAGCATGTGAGCCAATGTTAGTGCTTACACAAAAGGTAATTAAAAGCAACATCACGAACAATATCTGACAGCGGGTTCTCACGTTGTGTAATAGGTTCCGTATCCCTTCGCGGGGAATCCCGGAACCTTCTTCACCGCGAGATAGCGAACAAGATGCACCCATAACTCAATGGGTGCATCTTGCTTGGTTACGAAGAGCAAAGAGTCACCGATGACGCGTTCCTTCTCGATGTCGCGAGCGAGGTTGTCACCGTTGATCCGTGGCTGCCGGCCAGCTTCAGCAAGAAGCTTTTCCTGGTGCTTGACCGCCTCCTTGTGCTTCGTTGTTGCAGCATGCCTCTTGAAAGCCTGCGTCTGTACGTCCAAGGCGCCCCTCCCGCCCTTCCCGCACTTTCCAGCGTAACCTGCATGCTCGGTACAGATAGAGCACTTGAAAGCTGGGAGACCGTCAGATTGCCGCAAAAGAATGAGCCACGAAAACCTGTCTAGACACTCGGTCTTCTACTTGTACAGAGACTCAGCGTAAATCGCATCGCGTCCTGACTGCTTAGAAGGACCAGGAATTGATGGCGACTCCTGCGGGCCGGCAATGACGGGCGACGACCGTTGGTCGGCTGGCGAAGACGGGGTAGCTCCGTCGTCAGCGCCCTTTGTAAACCATGGCAGCGTTGACTGCATGTATCGGCTGGATTTCTTGGTCACAGGTTCGGGAGCCGGATTTTCAGCTGGAGGCGGCGAGCTGTCCTGCTCCGTGTCTGGCGCTGTCGGGGATGCACACCAACCCTCCTCATCGATGTGTTCGAACGGGATTTTGTTGGGCGGCTCGAGATCTGGTGGCTTCTCATTGTCGTTCACTTCCACTATGCTCGAAAACAATAAATCGAGGCCAGTAACTGCTTCAGAACGGACTACAGGCGGCTGGCGATGCGCCTGACCACCGTGTTCGCCGTTTCCGTGCCGTCAAGGTGTTCCACCATGGTAAGCAGCGGGGACGGCCTCACATCTAAGCTAGCGACAACGAGAGGGATTGCACAGGCAAAGCACTGGCCACGGCTGGCTGTCTCTTGGTACACTAGGAAGAAAGGTGGAAACCCAACTTCGGATGCAAAGCTTGGAGAAGAAAGGGCCCCTGGATGGCAACCACAGTGCATGGGCTGGGTTGTCAACGGGGCAGGAACGTTGACAGCCCTCCAGCACCACATGGTGGCCACGTTCGGATTGGCCAAGAAAAGATGCTGCAGCAAAACGGCCCAATGATGTGTGGCGCCGCGCCAACAAAGCACCTCTCAATCGTGAATTTGAGGCAAAATTTCACAGGTTCGTCTCGCCCCCTACACCACGGGAATCTAAGATTCCCTGTAATTGCGGTCAAATCCACACGACACAGGTAAGAATCGCTTTCTGTGTTAGTTTCATTTCAACGTTGTGGCTGTTGGAAACAAGTAACTTGAACGCTTCTGAAGTATTGAAGTATCGACACAAAACGGAGCAGACTACAGCGAAGCAACACACGAGTCAACAAAAGCAACCGCTGGAGGTTATGCAAAGGTCAAAGGTCGCTGACCTTTGACTTGACGAAACGTACAGTGCGACAGCAAGGACACATAACTGACTCGATACTGAGCAGTTACCCGAGTCGGCACTATATCGAACTGCAACAGCAGAAAACGGTTAAAGTAGAACTTTTCATATTCCCTTGTAATCATATAAAAGCTTGTATGTCTTTTGCTATTAACAACTTATCTTGTTCTCACACACCAGTACAAGGTGGTTCAGCAACTCTTATATTCTACGCTTCCGCAAACTACAACATTCCTACTTCAACAAGAGATCTTAGCCTTGAAAGATCCTAAGGGCTATTTCTCAGCCCAACATGGTATGAGAGAAAACAAGGAAAGATCGATTTCAAAACTCCTACGACAACACAAGACATGGCAACACAGAAGGAGAGAAGCTCCTCCAACGGGTCTCTCGGCACTACTCCTACTCCATCTCCAGCCTTTGGCCTACAGAAAGAGGTGTGAGAATTAACGAGAAGAATGATGAAACTAGAAAGGAGATGGGTACAAGTAGAAAACACAAAAGTGTTGTACCCTCTAAGAACTACCCCACTACAGCCTAAACAAACTATAGCATATATAAGTTTGACACACCCCCATAGGCAAAGTGGGGGAGAACAAGGGGTCACAAGACCAGTCAAGAAGGTAAAGCAAGCTCAGGGTGGATCACAAAGTCACCACGCAGTCTGAGCACAAGCAAAGGGCCACAAGGCCAGTTCACATGCAGAGTTATATAAAGGAAAGCAAACAATACAGTGAACACAACCTAGTAAGTGTAAGCATGCAGGTATAAGTATATAGAGTACAATACAAGCAGAGTCAAGAAGTCAACAAGTGAGGCACAGTGGGTACAAGGCCTAACACAGTACAGAAACGCTGATGATCACAAGGCTGAAGTGCCTTGGTGAAAACATCAGCAGTGTTGGCCTGAGAGGCCACGTAGGCAAGACGAAGCTGACCGCGCTGCTGCAACTCTCGAGCAAGGAAGTAGCGCAGAGCAATGTGCTTCGTTCTGTGCCCCAGTCTGTGCTCCTGACACAAGGCCAGCATGGCCTTGTTGTCGACGTACAGATTTGGAGGAGAACGAGGCGCCTCTCCCAAGTCGGTCAGCAGGTAGGTGAGCCAGCGTAGCTCCTGTGCAGCCATGGCCCCAGCGTAGATCTCAGCCTCATAGCTAGAGCTGAGAACAGAAGAAGAACGGGTAGACCGCCAAGAGACAGAACCGGAGCCAAGACTGAAGGTGTAACCCTGTGACGACCGCTGCGTAGTCAAGTCGTCAACCCAGGAGGCGTCTGCGTGACCAGTGAGGACAACTCGAGCCCGTCCTCCAAGCACGAGCCCCATGCCCGATGTACTGCACAATTATCGCAACACCCTCTTCGCAGCATCCCAGTGCACCTTTCCGTGCCTGCCGGGAGCCACGTAGCGAGCCAGAAGGCTGAGAGGGTATGCGAGGTCAGGTCGTGTGCAAGTCATCGGGTACATGAGGCAGCCCACAAGCTCTGGATACGGGCCACTCGGCTCTACGGACTCGTCCGAAGGTGGAGCTGAGAGCGAGTGACCGGTAGGCAGAGGAGTGGACTGTGGCGAGGAGTACGTGAAGCCGAAGCGCTGAAGGACCTGCTGCACCATGTGTGACTGAGTCAAGGTAATGGTGCGCTGTGCTCTGTCCCGGGTGATCCGCAAGCCAAGATAGCTTGTCAGTTCACCCAGGTCTGTGCACGTGTGTCTCTTCTGCAGCTCCGACTTTACGTGGGCGAGTGCCTCAGTGTCAACAGTAGCAAAGACAAGGTCGTCTACGTACACAAGAACGTAGAACGGCGGCAGAGTAGTGTCAGTGCGTAAGAACAGAGAAGGGTCAGAAGTGGAAGGAGCAAAACCAAGAGCAGCAAGAGTCATCCTGAGTGTGTCGTGCCACTCACGAGGTGCCTGGCGGAGACCGTAGACTGGCCGCCGGAGGCTCCACTGGGTAACAGCTGGAAACGACCCAGTGAAGCCAGGTGGGCGGCGCAGCCAGATCTCCTCGTGCAGGCTGCCCTGTAGAAAGGCTGTGCTGAAGTCAAGCGAGTGGAGCTCGTAGTCACGCTGAGCAGCTACGTGCAGCAGTACCCGAAGAGTGGTCATCTTCGGGGTAGGGGAGAAGGTCTGAAAGAAGTCAACTCCCTGTCGCTGACTGAAACCACGAGCAACGTAACGCGCCTTGAAGACAGGCGGAGAACCCGGCGGCCGCTTCACCCTGAAGATCCACATGCCACTGACGATGTTCGCCCCAGGCGGGGGAACCTCGTCGACGTAGGTGCCTGTGGACTTCCAAGAAGCCATCTCGGCGTCCATGGCTGCCTGCCACTGAGAGGAGTAGGGACCCTCTATCGCCTCTGCGTAAGAGCGCGGGGTCGGGATGTCTGGTGCATCCGGGTCTCCCTCAGGGGCAAGCAGCATGGACACGAGATGAGGTACAGAAGCAGCAAAGCACTCAAACTCCTCCTGTGTGTCCTCAAGAACGTCCGTGCCAAGAGCACACTCACCCCCGACGGACAGAGGACAGACAGACACAGACGCAGACTCAGTAACAAGACGAGCGGCGTAGTCTAGGCGACAGGCTGCAGCAAAGTCAACAAGCTCAGCAACGAGAGCAGACGCAGCAGTGGACTCAAACAAAGGGTCAGTGACAGCAGTGGCCAGAAAACGCGTGACAGCTGGACTAGAAGCACGTAGGGAGTCAGACGCAGGGTCCGGACCGGCAGGAAGAGAGGACGCAGGAGGAGACGGCAGAGGGAAAGGCTGTGGAGCAGTGGTAGGACGCAGAGTCATAGAGTGAGTGCCAGGGACAGGAGGAGGACGCGGACGCGAAACACGACCAGCGCGAACAGGACGGACAGGCGACGCAGGACGAGACTCAGGCTCACGACGCTCCGTAAGACCACTAGTCGGTCCAGAGTAAGGAGAAAGACCAGGCAGTGGAGAGGCTGGCTGAAACCGCGACTGGGACTGGACAGGCGGTGGACTCAGTAAAGGAGGAGGAGGAGGACCAGGAGAAGGCGGGGAGCCAAGAACCTACTGAAGAAGCGGAACGTAGTACGGCCGCGGCCGCACAGCACCTCCAGAGACAGCAGAGACAGAACCAGTACCCTCAGCCCCAGGGTCTCCAGTCCCAGCAGCACCTCCAGCAGCTCCAGCACCAGCAGCACCTCCAGCAGCTCCAGCAGCAGCACCACCTCCAGCAGCTCCAGCACCAGCAGCACCTCCAGCACCAGCAGCACCAGCACCAGCAGCACCTCCAGAAGCCCCAGCAGCACCCCCAGCACCAGCAGCACCTCCAGCAGCACCAGCACCAGCAGCACCTCCAGAAACGCCAGCAGTACCTCCAGCTCCAGCAGCACCACCAGAAGCACCAGCAGTACCCCCAGCACCAGTAGCACCACCAGCAGTACCAGCACCAGCAGCACC